GTAAATACTTATTTAATTCCTTTAAATAGTTATAGGACTGCTTATATTTTTATTCTTAACTCAGTTCTGCTTTTTGGAAAGTATCAACTGCATTAAAAAAATGTCAATTTCTTGTCATAAAACATTTCATATTGTTTTATCTACTTTAGCATCCGAAGTTATGCCTTTTTTATTCCTAAAACGGTAACTTGTGCATTCTTTCTTATATACTTATTTTGCTCATATCTTTTTACTTTCTTCCTTCTATTCCTTCTTTTTTCTCTCTTCTTAAATCGGATAATAAGGGCCAGGTATAGTGGCTCACACCAAGTTACTTAGGAAGCAGAGATTAGGAAGACCGTGGTATATGCCAGTAAACCTCCATGCAGAAGGCATAGGTAGAGGACTGTGGTCCAAGGCAGCCTGGGCAAAAACCTTGAGACTCTGAAAAATAACTACAAAGCAAAAAGGGCTGGGGCATGGCTCAAGTGGTAGAGCACTTATCTAGCAAGCACAAAGCCCTTGTTAGTACCACCAAAAAAAAAAAAAAAGTAGTAGACTCATTAATTTGTACTTTTTTGCTTAGTGTAAGGATTTGTGCTACAAATTTCTATCTGACCATCCCTTTCACTGCATGGTTGAAATACTGATATCTGGTAGTTTTGTTATCATTTAATTCTAAATTATTATCTAACTTCCATTATGTTTTTTTCTTTGACTCATAATTTATCAATATATGCTAAAGTCTCTAAAACTATAGGGTTTTCCCAGCTACCTGTCTTATTAATTTCTCTCTTAATTGCATCCTGGTTAGAGAAGACCATCTCTGTGTATTAATCCCCTGAATGTGTGGAGACTTGCTTTATGAGACAAAACGGCTTAACTCTCCCTGAGGGTACTCTGCTAGGAGGTGAACACCCTTAAATACTATGAAGAATGTTAATGTCATAGAGTTGTATGGTACTTGCCTACAGAGCCCTGGGTTCAATTCCTCAGTACCTCAAAAAAATACTAATGGTAATGATAGGTTTATTATAAGACTTTTTTATGCTTACTTTTCTTTCAAATAAGCCAAGCTGTTGAGGCTTGGCAGATTTGACTGACTGACCCTTTCAGACCCTTGTGCCTGGCTTTCTCCGTTATGCCTGGCTGCTTTAGGCAGGGAGCTACTCCTGTTTTGGTAAGGGGGAGAGCAGGACGCTTCACCAGGTGATTCAAGAGTTTGTGCAATGTGAGGCCTACTGATCCTTATGCAAGGCCTGTGACTGGCCCTTATGTAAGTTTGGTGACTGGTAGAACTAATAGCCATACAGTGACTGGTGGGAATTTTAAGCCGACCACAGGTGTGCTACACCCTTTTTCTACTATATAAGTAGCTTGCTTGCTTTTTTGGTTATTCTGGGAGACCTCTGTCCTGTGCATTTATTACCCCCTCACCCCCACCATGTTGCAACATTAGGCCTTAACAAAGCCTTCTCCCAAATGGTCTTTTTGCCTACTTGTGAGCAGGAGTAGGGCAGACTGGGCTGGTTTTGTGCCAAGAATAAGCAAGACTCTGGGGCTTCTGGCAACTCCAGCAGCAATGACAAGGTGCCTGAAGAGTCCCAGAGAGTCACCAGGGGCTGAGGGCACAAACCAAGGCTCAAAGCTGTAATGCCAGGAGCAGAGAGCTAAGGGTCCCCACGCCTGAAGCTCTGAGTGGTAACAACAGTGAAGAGCCGAAAGTCCTGGAGAGCGACTGGGAGCAGAAACTGCAAGAAACTATGAAGGACAGCAGAAGTGTAGACAAAGCAAGGGACAGTGGAGGAGCTGAAACTCAGAAAGGCAAAAGGCTGTGAAGAGCCCAAGGCAGGACTGAGACTATGAGGACTATGTGCTTGATTACTAGAGGGTTTGAAGGAACTGCCAAGGGACAAAGAGCCAAGTGTCCTGACACCTGGCGCTCAGGAGCTGTTAACTCTGGCTGCTGGCTGTTGGCACTCTGAGCCTAAAACAGTATGTCTCTGCCTAGACTACTAGGATTCAGGCTCTGAAAGCAGGAGCCCTAGGCTTCTGTTATTAGTCTCTGGGTTTGGAACTCAGCCTGGGAGCCTCTGGAACTCAGGGCCACCAATACTGAGAGAGCTGTCCCTTGCCTATCCATGATTTCTGTCTAAAGAGAGCAAAGAACCCCCAGCCAGCTATTTGTAACATTAAGACCCAGGACAAATGTTCCTTTGTAGTTGAAAAAAATCTATATTCTATAATCATACTATTATATGTCTATTAGATCAGCTTGTTGGTATATTTTTCAAATTTTCTATATTCTTGCATTTCTTTATCAGTTCCTAAGAGAGGTACATTTCGATCTTTCACTATAATGGTGAAATTGTCACCTGCCCTATCATCACCCAAGTGTTACCTATTTTGACACTACCAAATGCAAACAAGTTTAGAATAAATTTTTACTGAGTTAAAAGTTTGAGCAAGACCACTTCACCTTCTTTGCTTAATAATTTTTGCCTTAAAGTATGTATTTTCTTTTTCGGGATAGCAATTACCTTGAAAGCTTTATTTTTGTATGAGCCCCTTGAAAGCATAGGTTTTATAGTATCAGTAGCTATACCAGCCTCTAGTTATAGATACTATTATTATTTATTATTAGTACTATTATTATTAATTTTGTTATCAGTATACTAATTTTTACTTAGTATGTGCCTAGCTTATCATTTTGTCCTTTTAATTCTTAAATATTAAACAATTTATTGAAGTAGATTCAATCTTTATCTAAACTTTCAAGTTTTAGATATTATTAAAGATGTAAAGTACTAGAAAATCTAGGTCAATGATACCCACAAACCAAACACCCAATGCCTCCATTTAAAACTTACTGTTTTGCCATGCTTTTATGGGGTTTTTTTTGTTTGGTTGGTTTTGATTTTGAGTTTTTGCAGTATCAGAGGCCTTGCACTTGCCAGGCAAGCCTCCTATCTCCTAGCACTTGAACCACACCCCTGGTCTTTTTTGCTTTTCCTTTTTTGTTTTTGTTTTTTTCAGACAGGCTTTCACCTGGGCTTTTGCTCAAGCCAATCTCCAACCTCCATCCTCCACCTCCCCAGTTGCTGGGATCATAAGCATGTACCACAACACCGCTTGTTTTTGAGATATAGTCTCACTAACTTTACCCGGACTGGCCTAGAACCCACAGTCCTCCACCTCCTGAGTGCTGGGATTACAGGCATGAACCACCACACCCAACTTAATTTTTCTTTTTTTTTTTTTTGGCAGTACTAGGGTTTGAACTCAAGGCTTTGCACTTGCTAGGCAGGTGCTCTACCACTTAAGCCACGCTCCCAACCCTTTTTGCTTTAGTTTTGGAAGTAGGGTTTCGCTTTTTTTCCAAGCCGGGCTGGACCCTGATCCTCTTATTTATGTTTCCCATATAGCTGAGATGACGTGTGCATACCCGTGTCCAGCTATAGCTTGAGATGAGGTCTCAGAAACTTTTTTGCCCTGGCAAGCCTGAAAGTGCGACCTCACAATCTCCACCTCTCAAGTATCAAGGTATGAGTCACTGTGCCCAGCCTAACTTCATTTTTTAAATCCAGTGTAATGTTTGTCTTCCACTTTGCAAGTTTAGTCCATTTTTAATTCTGATGATTACCAATATATTTGGAATTCTTTCCTCCACTTTATTTCATTATTTCTACGCATGCCACTTTTAAAAATGTAACTTTTCCTCATTATTTTTTGAAATTTGAGATGATGTATTTTCTTTTATTCTCCTGTGTTTTTTCATCATCCTAACCCCCTTCAATATAGATTTGAAGTTTTCAGTTTATATATCTGCTTCCACTTATACCATGTGGAAAAGAGAGTTTTTAAGAGACCCAACCTTTGAGCTTGGCCTGTGTTCCCTAAATCTGAGGAGCTTGAGAGCTGGCATGAAATGAACAGGGCTGAGATAAAAAAGAAAGGAAACTGTACTGAAAAGAAGGGAAAGTGTTCTCTCAACACTGGGGCACAGAGAGCAGTGTTTATACTGCACCAAATGCGGGAGAGGCAAGGAGCTGCCAAGGAGCCATTTGTAAATCCTGTCCAGGACTGTAATGGCCAGGACCGGGCTCAGACAACCATGGCAGACACTCACAACCAGGTATAAAGCAAAGGACAGTCAGTCCTACAGGAGTATTTCTGGGTAACCCACAAAAGCCTTCTTCAGAAAAGCCATCACTTTGAACATCTTCCAGTCTCATCCAGCAGCAGCAGCAACTCTCAAAGGACCACTACCAGAAGGTGGCACCTTGCCACAGCCCCTTTTGCTAGGGCTCAGCAGCAGGGATATCACCTTGGGGCACAGCCACAACTCCAGCTCTAACTTGTGAGGCAGCATTTGTACCACATGACCCTGGCCCACCAGACACAGTTGATTAGCCTAATGGAAGTCACATGACCCAGGGCAGCCAATGGGTAGGCTGAGCTATGTAGGAGAGCCAATCAGATTCTCTTGTGGTGGGAACAGAGAGCTGTTTGCTAGGGGGTGTGCCTAGGCCTACAGGTGGGAATGTAGGACCAGAGACTTGGAAGTCACAGCAAGCAGAAGTGGTGAGGAAGCAGAAGCACTGAGGAGGTGGGAGATACATGTCAGAAGAAAGATATGGAATAACAGGTTTTAGGGAGATGGATGAACGCATATACTGAATTTCCTTACGGCAGATTTTTTAAAACTCCACTGAACGTCTATACACTGCAGCTCCTGAGTCTTAGATGCCATGGTGGATGGAGTTCTAGGCCAAAGATCTCTGGTGTCTGATGGTTTCTGTTCCTGCATAGCCAGGCTATGTATCTCCCTTGCATTCCCACATGTATCCTGACAACCAGGAGCACCCTTCGCTTGGGATCACTGGAGATCACTGTTTCCTGCTGTGCTAAGAACAACCACAAAAAGAAAGAGGAAATTGTGGGATGGCGTCGTCAGGAACAGAACTTCACACCAGGCAATTTGTGCTGCATTTCCCGGAATAAAATCCTCTGTTGTGCTGTGCTTTATTTTATTCTGTGAAAATAAGGCTTATTGTAAAACAGAATGAAATCCACAAACCAAACCCCAAACTCTAGCAAAAGGCAAGCCTCTAATATGTAAAGTCAGTCCTTTCAACTTATTGCTTTTGTTTCCTGTTTCTTGATAACATGACTCCGATGAGGCCCATGGCTGCCAAGCCCACACCTGCGATGCCTGCCGCCATGACGACATCTCTGACCTGCAACAAACAAGGGGATGAGTCACCAGGTTACTCCAGAGGCACCTGCACACCCATGTTTATTACAGCACTATTCACAATAGCCAAGTTATGGAAACAGCCAAGATGCCCACTACTGACAAATGGATCAAGAAAATGTGGTATCTATACACAATGGAATTTTATGCAGCCATGAAGAAGAACAAATGTTATCATTCACTGGTAAATGGATGGAATTGGAGTACATCATTGTGAGTGAGGTTAGCCTGGCCCAAAAGACCAAAAATCCTATGTTCTCCCTCCTATGCGGACATTAGATCAAGGGTAAACACAACAAGGGGATTGGACTTTGATCACATGATAAAGTGAGAGCACACGAGGAAGGTATGAGGATAGGTAAGACACCTAAAAAACTAGATAGCATTTGTTGCCCTCAACGCAGAGAAACTAAAGCAGATACTTTAAAGCAACTGAGGCCAACAGGAGAAGGGGACCAGGAACTAGAGAAAAGGTGAGATCAAAAATAATTAACTTAGAAGGTAACACACATGCACAGGAAATCAATGGGAGTCAACTCCCTGTATAGCTATCCTTATCTCAACCAGCAAAAACCCTTGGTCCTTCTTATTATTGCTTATACTCTCTCTACAACAAAATTACAGATAAGGGCAAAATAGTTTCTGCCAGGTATCAAGGGGGTGGGGGGCAGAGGGAGGGGGCGGGGGGGTAAGGGAGAGGGTGGGGGAAGGGTGGAGAAATGACGCAAACATTGTATGCACATATGAATAAAATAAAAATTAATAAATAAATAAATAAGGGGGATGAGCCACATTCAACAACAGGAATCAGAGATCAGTGGGATCACTCAGCTCAGGGTACTTCCCATGCCCCTTGGCCTCCCCTGACCAAACTCAAGAGTCAATGAATAATGGCAGGGAAGAGTGGAGGAAAGGCTGGATTGGGAAAGAACCAGTGATGGAGCCAGCTGGCTTAGAAGTTGCCCAAAATGAGAAACTGGATTCCCCCTGTGGCTGTTTAAAGCATAGAAATCCTCAGAGGGTGGCTGTGGAAAGGGTGAGGAGATGATGCCAGGATGGTAAGAACTGGTGGGCCAGTGGACAGGTGTGAAGTCAGGGAGGGACTGCTGTAGAAAACTCAATAAACTATTACCTCCATGAGAGCAAGAATCCATCTCATCACTGTACACCCAGTACTGCCAGGTATGGGAGTGCTCTGTTTGTGGGTGTTGTTTTTTGGTTTGGTTTGATTGGGGAGTTTGTTTTATTCTGATACAGGGTCTCACTGTAAGTCAGGCTGGCCTCAAACTCATGATCCTCCTCCTCAGCCTTCCCAGTGCTGGGGATACAGGTGTGTGTCACCATGTCCAGCTTTCTCTTCTGTTCTCATTGTTTTCTGAAATAAATTACTCAACTCTGAACAGTAGTTAGTATTAGGATATATGATTATTTGTATTGTTTGTAGTTAAAAAAAAAGTATTGCAAAAATAAGAACAAATGTCAAGGTAAAAATCGAATATATGTCCAATTTCACTCCCTCCTAAAACCCAACTAAAATTAAGTAAAGCATTTGTTTGGGCTAGAGGAGTGGCTGAGTGGTAGAATGCTAAGCTAACATGCACGCAGCCCTAGGTTCAATATCTAGCATGGCAAAAAAAGAAGAAAGTACTTGCTTGAGTTATAATACCATAAGGACACAGAATCTTTACAGACACAGCTTAGGGAAAAGCTGAGGCCCACCCCTAATTAAATAACACAAACCTCTACAAGGATCACACAAAAATCACAGATTGACAACCCCAGTGGGGTGGGAAGTGGAACAAAAGGAGAGAGAGCGTTAGCCAGGTCCCTGGGCCTCCTCCCTCACCCCAATAGAAGTCTGAAAGTTTATTCTCTGGAGTTTATTCTCAGAAGATTTGGGAGCCTACAAATCTAGAAACATCTGCGAGGTTGTAACACCATGAACAGACATTGAGACATGCTCACATGCTAGACGTGAGACTCTCAGACCTCCTACCCCTCTCTGTTCCCAGAACTCCACCCTCCATACAAGAGTCTGGAAGACATTTCTACAGAATCTGGCCAGTTCAAGTAAAAACAACAAAAAATACCAGTACTGGGCACCAGGATCACCTCATAGTGAAACTCAAAGTGAACAAACCACTGCCCCTGCCCCCACTGACTCGCTCCCAGACCGAAAGCCATCTTCTGCATCTCATGTCTTCTTGCCCCGTTTACTCTCTTGTTTGGTTGGAAGTTTGGAAGTCTCACCAGAAGTTAGACTGCTGGTGAGACTTTAAACCTTCCTCTAAAAGGTAATTACAGCAAGGGACAGTGGTTCACGCCTGTAATCCTAGCTTCTTAAGAGACAGAGATCAGGAGAATCGTGGTTTGAGGCCAGCCTGGGCAAAAAAGTTCCCAAGACCCCCATCTCAAACCAGTGACTGGGCTCTGCAACATGTGCCTGTCATCCCAGCTATGTGGGGAAGCACAAATAAGAGGATCACAGTCCAGGATGCTCCAAATATAAAGTGAGATCCTATTTCAAAAAACGACCAACACAAAAAGGGGTGACAGAGCAACTCAAGTGGTAGAGCACTTGTACACGAGGCCCTGAATTCAACCCCACTACAGCCAAAAACAAAACAGTAATTAGACGTAGCTTTGTGATGGCCATGATCTGTTAGGTTATCTTGCTAGAGAACCTGCATAAAATCACAGTGCTTTCCTTGCTCAGCTGTGTGTCGTGGTCTGCCGATAACGGAGGAAGAACAATATGAGTCTAGATCTTTATAGAACCTCCTGGTGTGAGAACAAATGCTGATGCCACCACTTCATACAAAAGATACTTTGTCAAGGAAAATGACAATCACCTCATTGTTTGTGGTTACGCTTTGTACACAGTCAAAAAGGGTGACTAAATACAAGAAAGTGGCATCTAGTTAGTCCCCAAAGTGCCAACGTTTGGGGGTGGGCGATCTGTCCCGTACTCGCTTGACAATCCTGTTGCCTGCTGATAAGACAGGTGTTCTCAGAGTGCAGGTGCTACATGCTGGGTATCGCAGGTCTTAAATCACAAGATTGGACAGAAAAAATCATCCCTCATTAGAAATGCTAAGAAACCTCTCTTTTTTTTTTATTTTTTGGAGGGAGGTGGAACTGGGGTTTGAACTCAGGGCATGCAAGTGCTCTGCCACTTGAGCCACAGCTCCAGTTCATTTTGCTCCAGTTATTTTGGAGATGGGCGTCTCTTGAACTATTTGTCCAAGCTGGCCTCGAATCTTGATCCTCACAATCTTAAGACTCCCAGGTAACTAGGATTACAGGCGTGAGCCACCATAAGCCACCAACACCCCACTTCAAATCTTTTTTTTTCAAATGAAAAAACTGAAATGCAAACTAAATAGCTGTTTATGCTACCCAAGTCTTCTGAGTTATGCCCTAATTTAATGAAATCTGAATAATTTCTGAGAAAAGGAAAATTCTCACATGCTTCTTTCACTTTGAGCAATGTTCTAAGTGGACTAACGAAGTAAAGAAGGGGGTTGTGATTCTGAAAGCAGCTGAATTTAGACTGTGAGCATTTACAAAGTGAGAACTATTACAAAATATCTGTAGGGGAAGTATGGGAATTTGGCTTTTTTACAATAAAGCCACAGCTTATCCAGGTCCAGTGTTGTCACCTGGCCACATCTTATTTTGTCTCACACAGCTCCTGAATGATGGCGCAGGGTTCTAGCACTGTTCAGTAGGTGGGCTCTTCACACATGCTCACCAATATAGCTGGTCTGAAGTGCTTTTAAGGAGGTAGAAAATAGGAGCATCTTTTTTCTAGAATGCTATTAGGCATGCAAAGCACAAGTTACATTTTAACTTTAACCCACTGACTCACTTTTTTTTGGCACAATACTGCGGCTTGAATTCAGGGCTTCAAGTTTGCAAGGCAAGTGCTCTACAACTTGAACCCTTGTCCTTTTGGTTTCCTTAGTTTGCTTCCCAGACAGGGTCACATGCTTTTGCCCAGGCTAGCCTCCAACCTCATTCCTCCTATATCTACCTCTGGAGAACTTGGGATTATAGATGTGCACCACCATGCCTGATCCTTCACTTTCTTACTGGGAAAAAAAGTTTCCAGATTTTTCCTGTTAAAGGAAAATCTATTCTACTTCAAAGAGCCCAGCACAACTAAACATACTGACTGCCAATTTTTTTTTTTTTTGGCAGTACTGGGGCTTGAACTCAAGGCCTGACACTTGCTAGGCAGGTGCTCTTACCACTTGAATCACTCCACCAGCCCTTTTTATGTTGTTGTTTTTTGTGTGTTGTTTTGTTTTGTTTTGTTTCTGAGATAGGGGCTCATATTTGCCCAGGCTGGCTTAGAACCATGATCTAGAACTGCAATCCTCCTGATCTCTGCCTCCCGAGTGGCAAGGATTACAGGCCTGACTTGCCAGATTTTGCTTTTCAGAATGCATAAACCTCAGTACTGTATTGTGGATGCTTCATTCAGTTTTTCCCATAATGCCATTCAACTTCTACCGAAGACATGCCACCTTTCAACAAATCTAAAATTTTCACTTCACCACTTTAGTTAAGCACATTAATTAAAGTTCTTCAGAAGTCTTCTTTCTTTTCTTGTTTCTTTTTTTCTGTTAGCTGGTGCAGCTTTGATGGTCAGATTCTCAAAACCAAGTAAAAAACTCCTGAGTGAAAAAGAGAGACGTGACTTTGGCAGGAGTTATAAAGGAAAACACTGCTGGATGTTTTTCCAGTTTCCACTAAGTCTCCAATCTCTAGTGAGATGGATCACACACTGAAGTTCTATTTAATTTGCTCACAGCATATATTATGGCCACTACTCAACTAGATCAGTGGTTTTCAAGTGATAGTAAGTTTATCTCCATGGGAAATTTGGCAATGCTTACAGATGTTTCTGGATCTAACACCTGGGGTGAGTTGTTACAGGGTCCAGTGTATAGAGTCCAGGGACACTGCTAAACCTCATACAAGGCCCAGGACAAGTCACAATAATGAAAAATGATCAGCTCTTAAACTGTCAACGGGGCTAAGGTTGAGGAACCCACATCCCCTAGATCCCTAGATCAAAAAATTAAAGAAGAAATCTTTGAAACAGTATGGACAGCACTTCTCAGTTAGACCGAGGAGAAACACAGGTTAGGCGGGAGACAGCTCAACATCCTCACAGGAAAGAGAGCCTGCAGAGGGGTCTCCAGCAAGAGAGCTAGAGCCCACTGCCACATAAAGGTTTGGGGTAGTTATAGGGGAAGCTGGTGAAAAAGTACCAGAAGATCGCTGGGTAAGAAAGTTTTCTTGTGGGTCACTAAGGAATGCTGTTGCTGGGAAACCAAGGAAGACAGGCTGTGGTTAGGTCCCTTGTCTGCTCAACTGTCTTTGCGCCTAGAGAAAGATTAACAACTGTCCCTTGGTCATTCTTTGGGGTCAGGTGGGGAGTTTCCAGTAAGTCAGCTGCAAGGGGGCAGGGGTCTGGTCCTAACATGGCTGCCCTTACTGTTCACCCTAACATTCTTTTTGCTTTGTTTTTGGATTTTGTCATTGTTGTTTTGTTGTTGCTATTGCTGTTGCTGCTGGTGGTTTTTGTCTTGTTTTGGTTTGGTTTTTGAGACAGGGTCTCACTACATAGCTCAGTCTGGCCTTGAACTTGATATGTAGCACAAGCTGGTCTCAAATTCATGCCTGCTGAGTTCTGGGATTACAGGTGTGCACCACCATGCTGGCTCTCTTTTGTTTTTGCATTATACTCTCATTTCATTTGCTGTCATGGTTATTTTGCCATTATTCTTCCTTTTTCAATTGAACAGATAGGTATGTGAGGCTAAAGTCACATGAAGAAAAGTACAGTGCTTCATTTTTGCAAAAAAAAAAAAAGTGTTGAATTATAATTCATAGAAAGAGTAAACAGTAGGAAACATTTCTTAGCATTTTCACTATCCCAAGATTTGGGAAGCTAGGTGCAGATGGTTCACACCTGTAATTGTAACTACTTACAAGGCAAAGATCAGCAGTTTGAAGCCAGCCCATACAAGTAGCTTACAAGACCCTAACTTGAAAATACCTAATATAAAAGGGGCTGGCAGAGTGGCTCACGTGGTGCAGCACCTGCCTAGTAAGCACTGAGACCCTGAGTTCAAACCCCAGTACTGCCAAAACAAAAAAGATTTAGTTTAATTGTGCCCACTGACAAATGTTTTACTAACTTATGTAACAACTTTGCATTAACATAAAATTTTCTGCTTATACAAATTTGTATATCTGTTGGCAAAGAATAACAAAAAATACGATGGAGAGGCCATACTCTGTAAATCCACTAAATCTTCCTAAGATAGCAGCCTACATTTCAGGAATATCTTACTGCTTTCCAAGGTTTACTGTAATCTAGATTACAATATAGATTTGAAGTCCATTGCTGCACAGGCGTATAGAAACTTACCTGAAATGAAAACCACAAGTGAAAGAAAAGCTCAACTTTTATGCAATATCAGCAATGATAAAATCAAAATTATTAAAACATACATCTCCCTTTTAATGCTGATATTGTCACCGTTACATTGAAGAAAAACTTCCATTCTACCTAAATAAATATATGTTACTTTTCTAATTTAAAGAGATTAATAAATGGATAACATAAAAGAGAAAACAAGAAAGTCAGGAGAGCAGTCCAGGGGTCCAAGACACTAACAATAGTTGTTTCAGAGAAGACAAAGTAGAAAATTTCCCAGAATGAAAGGAAGTGCGTTTCCAGGGTGAAAGGAATCACAATACTTGCTAACAGACCCCCACATGGCACATCCCAGTGAAAAAAGATAAGATTCTTTAAGCTTCGGGAAGAAAACTCACCTACATATATCAGAATGGTTTCAGACTTCCTTACCATAATAGCAAAAGTTAGACAATGAGGCAATGCCTTCAAAATTCTGAGGGAAGAGAGTCTTTCCCACCTAGAATTCTATACTCAGCCAAACTATCCATCGCACATGAGGATAACGTGAAGACATTTTCAGGTGGGCAAGGTCTTGTTAAAATGCCCCATTTCTAGAGAAAAGGTGAGATCAAAAAGAATTAACCTAGAAGGTAACACCCACGCACAGGAAATCAATGTGAGTCAATGCCCTGTATAGCTATCCTTATCTCAACCAGCAAAACCCCTTGTTCCTTCCTATTATTGCTTATACTCTCTCTACAACAAAATTAGAAATAAGGGCAAAATAGTTTCTGCTGGGTATTGGGGGGAGAGAGGGAGGGGGCAGAGTGGGTGGTAAGGGAGGGGGTGGGGGCAGGGGGGAGAAATGAACCAAGCCTTGTATGCACATATGAATAATAAAAGAAAAATAAAATAAATAAATAAATAAAATGCCCCATTTCTCAGTAAGCTATTTGGAGAAATAATCCAGCAAAATAAGGCAATAAACTAATAAAGAGAAAGATATGCACTCAGAGGACAAAAGAATTAACACAGGAGTGAACTGAATGATGTCCTAGGAGGCTAGTACAAGGTGCACCAGGATGACAGCCATGCCACATCAAGTAGGACTCAGCAAAGGTTTTTTACTTCTCTTTTTTTGGTGCTGGGGATGGATCCCAGGGCCTCGTGCATACTAGGCAAGTGCTCTGCCACTGAGCCACACCCCAGCCCAGGAGACAAATGTTTCCAGGGCTACTGTGCCAAAGACAGATTGCTAAACGCACATCATCTCCCAGCCCCCTTCTCGCATGATATCTTCTTCCTTACAGAAGGTAATGAAGTTCCCTCATGGTCCTGCCTGCTGACTCCCCCAGAAGGGTGCTGCTATCAACTCTCAGGTAGACTGAAGCCAGTCTGTGGCCAGGAGATCAGGAATTGTCACCAAACTTTGGCAATATTGTCCTTTTCTTACTTAGCTAGTTATTAACTTGCTACTCTATATTAATCACCCCTAACAGTTGCCACACTGGCCAAGGAAAAACAGATTGAATCTCAAAAATAAAAAAAATTTAAATGAACAACCTGACAGAACTTAACCTCATCATTCATTGGAAGAAATAAAAACATTCATTTGCATCAACACCCATGTAAGAATTTTTTCCAGACAAGGTTCTCATCAAAAAAAAAAAAAGATGGAAAAGTGGAAGAAAGGGATAAGGAGAGTGAGGAGTAAGAACAGGAATGAGAAAAAGCAATACAAAGAAGAGAGAAGACAGGGTATGGAAGCTCATGCCTATAATCCCAGCACTCGGGAGGCAAAGGCAGGAAAATCCCAAATTCCAGGCCAGCCTGGGCTACATAGTGAGACCCTGTCTGAAAGATTAGATAATCGATGATAGATAAAATAGATAGACAGACAGACAGATAGTTAGATAAAATGAAGAGGCTGGGGCACATGACCAAGATCACATCAAATAAACCAACAAAACTGCATCCCTGAGGTCTCCTGGGTTGCCTCTTGGGACTCAGTAGGGCTGAGGACAGGGCTGTTTGTGAGCCCACTGAGGCTCACATCCTATCTCTGCCACTCATCAGCATAGCTGCATCGACACCCAGGAAAAGACAGATCCAAGTCTGGAGAGTGAGCCAAGATTTGTTGGATGAAATGCATGGCCACAGACAAACTACTCAAGCACTGGGAGCCTCAGTTTCCCCATCTGTGAAGTAGAGTTAACAAAGCCTGCCTCCAGGGCTATGGAGGGTCATCTGCATGGGGGCTGGGGGCCAGGGAAGGCACGACAACAGGACTGGTCATCATGGCTGTGACACCCTTTCTTAGCGATTGTCTCCCTAACTGCCCTGATCTGCATTGACCACTTATCCGCCTGTCTCCCCACTGTGACATCCTCGGGGACAAGAAGCACATCTCTGCTAGCTTGTCCTGTTCACGCCTCTATCTCTGTTCACACTGATCTCCAGCCACTGTCTGAGGGATGGTATGGTTCCTGGGGAAAGGGCACAGTCTGAGGACGCACCTGGTCACTACGGGCGACCCCGTAGCGCAGCTCATTCACAAAGTGCTCGCAGTTCTCGCTGGTCAGCTTGTAGAGTACCTCCTGCCCCACCAGCTCCTCTGCCCGCTGGATGATCTTGCTGGGAGGCAGCGGGTCATACTTGTCATCGTGTTTGTTATTGACCTGGTACTTATCACTCCCAGCCACATAATACAGCAGTTCCTTTTTCACGATGGCCTTGTCATGCAGGGCAGACATGATACTGGCTGCACCAGCTCCTGCAATTTCACCTGTAGATCCACAAAAGGAAAACAGAAGAACTGGTCTTGGGCAGGGCCACGGGGACTCAGAACTGACCCCCCAGCTGGGCATCCACCCTTGATAACACCCACAGGGATGTCCCCACAGACACCCCCAAAGGGGTCCTTTACTAATCTCCTAGGCATCTCTTAACCCAACCAAAGTGACAATCAAGATTAATCATCACAGAGAACCAGTCTATTTTTCCTTGGCCAAAGAGCATGGGGGAGTCAGGCAGATGTAGGCCCTGCCTTTTGCCAGGTGTATGACATTGGGAGATTTAGTCAAGAATCCCAGCTTGGTAAAGAACAAATGACAACTGATCTTAGAGGATTTCTGTGTGAATAAGATAGGGGCATCTTTATGGCTAGCCCAGGACTAACTCAGAAAATGAACTTCAGCAAGATGTGGAAGGGAAAGACACATGGCTGTGTAGCTTTGGAGGTGCTTGTGGTCTCTGGACCCTAGACTCCTTATCTGAATGAGGACTGATGAAGTCCCATGATTTATTGTGACTTTTTTAACCTAGAGAAACTGGTCTTCTGCACCCCATGACACCTAAGTGTGAACCTTTTGCAGTTTCACCTGAGCTACAGCTCCATGACCTCACAAAGCTGATGATTGCAGGAAAAGTGGCTGTTTTCAGAAAGAGTCCCTCCTTTCTGAGAGCAAAGGGACCAAAACCCCACAGCCACTCCCCTAGATGTGATGCTAAGAAGCCCCAGGGGATATGCCAGCATCCCTGGCCAAGATCCAAGGGTTAGAAGGGGAAACAAAGCTCCAAAAATGAAATAACCCAGAGAAACAAAAGCCTGGGTTCCATAGAAGGACCAGGATGGCAGTGAGGGAGAGCTGATGCCAGCACACAGCCTGGTCCTCCCTCCCAACCCAGCCAGCCTACAGTGGGAGGGGGATGCACTGGGTATGGTGGCTAAAAGGGGGCTGTACACCCAAAAGGTGGACCTAGGAGCCAGGGGCATCATGGGAGAAGGCTGACTGTCAAAGAACTACTGCGTCCTGCCAGGATCAGGGTCCCCCAGGTGTAGCAGCAGTACCCCAAATAAACTGGGCCAGACCAGTCCTCAACTGTGACACTGTGTGAGAGCAACAAGAAATGTCAAGAAGGGCTGATTAAATTCCAGATCATGCTTTACATGGCCTTCTGGAAAAGATTATAAAGCCCTGTGCTCTGAGTGGGTCATAAGATTTTTTGGAAAATTTGGAGGATTTTTAGCGGCTAGTAATAGGGGAGGGAGACCTTGAGGGAATCACTGAAGTAAATAAAAGAGAGGCAGCCTCCTGTGAGACCTGAGTTTGTAGACCGTGAGCTCACAGGCAGGCAGGTGACAAGGCTGGAACTAGGCTAAAGCAAATATGGTGCCTAGAGCACAAAACTTAAGGAGGCACCAACTCTCAGCATCGTGCACATGCGGAGTCAGCACCTAAGCAAGAGGGCTTCCTTAACCCCACAGGGTGGTACAATGGGCACAGGCTGACACTCAGAAACTCTGGTTCTGACCCTGGCTCCATCACTGACCACGTGAGTGGCCTGCACATATCACTTGACCTTGCTGAGACAATGCTGAGCAAATACACATTTTCTATGGAAGAAAATGCTAAGTGAACAATCATAGGAAGGATGTGTGGACGTGGCAGACAATCCGTGACTCAGTACTGGAAAATGCCAGGCTGGGCAGCACAGCATCATGGTGAAAGGCACAGAGTCAACAGCTGGACTGCCAAGGCTTAAGTCACACACATGCCACTTACTACTGTGAGACCAGCAAGTTCCTTAACTTTTCTGAGCCCGGTTGCTTTTTGGAGAATAGCACTCCCTACTGCAGAAAGCTGAGAATTAAAGGAGACTTCTCCAATCCTGACACTGGGCTGTCTGCCAAGCCTCCTTCCCGTTCTAAGTCTACTGTCCTCCTGGCGTCACCTGTCCCATAGGGTCTTGCTTGGGGGGCTTGAGTGAGAAGACACAGGGAAAAATATCTTTTCCCTTCACATCTGCCCACCTGTCCAACTGGAGCCCTGTCATGCCCTCCACCGATGACACCTGCTCTGGGCAATCAGTCAGTACTGAGGCCCCACTGTGTCCAAGGTACTGGAGACAGAGGCATGAACAGGATGATGGGCCTGCCCTCAAGCCCTCAAGCAGCTCATGTTCCAGTGAGAGGAACTGAGAATGAACAAATACACAAAATAAGGTACTTTCGGGTACAGAAAATGCTGGGAAGAAGAATAGGGAAGTGACCTGGGAGCAGATGACGAGGACAGGCTGCTGTAGCTCAGGACAGGAGGCCATGCCAGGAAAAGTCATTAGAGCTGAGGCTGGGATGATGAAGAGGAAGCAGCTGTGCTAAGAGCTAGGGAAGAGGTGGCAAAACCTCAGGAAGGAAAGAGTGTGACAGGCCCAGAGCATGAGAGGGCAGCAAGGAGACCAACATGGCTGAAGTCAGAGACCCAGGAAGAGAAAAGAGAAAGATGAGGCCCAGTCAGGCACACAGAGGCCACACCACACCAGGTCCCATAGCCTAGAGTGCCAATCATTTCTATGTCAAATGGAATCTTATCCTACACATAAAGATTAGTTTTTCTTTTACAGTACTGGGGATCAAACTCACTCACGCTAAGTAGGCACTCTACCACTGAGCTATACCCCCAGCCCAGGGAATTTTAAAGAGATGGGTGGCATGATATGATCTATGCCTTAGAACCATTCTGCTGGCTGCCCTGTGAAGGAGGGACTCATTGTATGTGGGCAGGAGGCAGAGGTCAGTTAGCATCCACAGTGGCATCAAAGGTAGGGAGGTGGTTGCTTACACCAGGGAGGAAATGTAAGAAGTTATAAAAGCCAAAAGGGTTAGTGATGGATTAGATTTGGGGTGACAAGGACTAAGTATGATTTCTAGGCTTCTGGCCTGAGAGGATGAATGGTGTTATCCACCAGAACCTTCCATTTAGGGCCTGTGAAGTTTAAGTGCCAATCAGACACCCAACTGGAGATTCCAAGAGGTCAAGAGGTGATGCAAGCTGGAAGCTGACCAGGGGTCTAAGTTGAGGTTACGGGTTTAGGAGACCTTGACCAATAGTAGGTTTTAGAAGCCACAGGGTCTAGTGAGTCACTAGAGCTCCAGTTAGGGATGTAGCTGGACAGGAGGGGAACATGCAGGAGACCAAGGAAGGCTCAGTGGGGGAGGGAGAAAGACAGGTGCCAGGCAAAGAGCAGAGAAAGGTCACTCATGTCAACTGCTGCAGATAGCTAAGTAGGCTGTGATCAGAATATTGACCTGTGTCTTTGTCAAGATGTAGGGGAAGGGGAGTCATTTACTTGATGGGAACTGCTCCATTAGGAGGGCAAAGGAGAACTGGCTGGGGGGACATTGAAAAGAAAATGAGGAGGAGGGGACCTAAGCTGCCAACCATGAAGACTATATCATGAGGACCTCTGTTCTCTGTGGGGCTACAAGGGGTGGGGTGCTATCAATAGACATGACAGTTGTTCCTATTTCAACAGGGAAAAGATGACAATACAGGAGGAGGGGTATTTAGAAAAGGAAGAGCTTACAAAAGTAAAATGAAGGGGTCCTGGGCCCACATGTTGGTGCTGGTGTCACAGTAAGAGAGTAACAGGAGAAAGGAAAGACTGGTGATTTAGCAATGGGGGTGGGAAGATGCTACCTACTCTGGTTACTTCTGACTTCTCTGTAAGGACAAGGTACATTAGTTATAAGTAAAGGAGTGGGCAAAATACACATTCCAAAATTTCCACAGCATTTCTGTTCATAGCAGGCAAAAACTGGATCCACTCTGATGTCAGAAGAATGAACAATCAGCCAGGCATGGTGATGCAATGCCTTGTAATCCCAGCTACTTAGGAGGTACAGGCAGGAAGATGGAGAGTTTGAGGCCAATCCAGCCAAAAGTTAGTGAGATCGTGTCTCAAAATCAAAATAAACAAAAATGCTAGGGGCATAACTCAAGTAGTAGAAGGCTTGCCTAGCATGCATGAGGCCCTGGGTTCAATTCCCAGTACCACACAAAAAATAAGTAGACAGCAAATTGTGGTATAGTCACATAAAGAAAAATACACAACTATGAAAAGATAATGGCCCTCCTGGGTATATGGACAAGTGAAAGAAGCCAGACACAAAAGAGCAAAGACCAAGTGATTCCTCTTCCATGAAGTTCTAAAACAGGCAAAACTCTTCTAGGGTAAGAGAAGATGGAGGGGATTGCCTGGGACAGGGATGGTGAGGGGATGAAGAAGCAACAGGAAGTCTTCCACAGGAGTGAAATGTTCTAGATCTTGGTCTTGGTTGGGTCATTGTCACATGGATGGATTTTAAAAATTCATTGACTGGGCACTTCACTATATTTGTGTGCCTTTACTATATTTTTTATTACATTCCAGTTTAAAAGGTTTAAGAAAAGGGGTGGGTGGGCTGGTGGGAAGGCTCAAGTGGTAGAGTGCCTGCCTGGTAAACATGAGGCCCTGAGTTCTAACCCTGGTACTACAAAAAAAAAAAAAAAAAAAAAAAAGAAGAAGAAGAAGCCAAGGATGGACTGAGTGTGTCTGCCCAAACACCTGTGCTCTTCTTTCCAGAGTCTTATACTTAAGAGTTGAAGGTGTCATGTAAAAAATCAAAGTATATAAAACACGTAAAAGCTGATAGCTGCCCCCTGGATGCCCTCCTGAGCCCTTACACAAAAACCCCTTGGGGGGCTGGTAGAGTGGTTCAAGCCTTAAGAGCACCTGCCTAGAAAGCAACCCTGTGCCGCCAAAAAACAAAAACTTGGGATTCCAAGGAGCAGAGTTTGAAAACCATTGGCCCACACCAAACTATCTTCTTGTAACTCTTAGGAACAAACCACCAGTTGGGGGAACACTGACAAAGTTAGAACTACCTGTTATCCACATCGTCCCCTCCTACTCTTCCCAGCCCCCGGGCCCTGCACAGTGGACATAATGTCACTCTTACTTGGAGGAGCCAGATGAATCACATAGCCATCACCAACATAGATGGCCCAGTGTCTGTAGAAAGGACGGAAAATCTCAATCAGGTCTCCAGGCTTGGGCTCCGGCTGTAAAACCAAGAACAGAGCTGTTAAGAGGCAGTATGAGGTCTTGGGACAAAAGGCAGAGCTCAGTTAGGAAGGGGCAGCTTAGTGACCCCCAGGAATCAGCTCAGCAAGACACGGACCTAGGTCCTGCCAGTCTGATGCTGGCACACTTTCACAAGCCTGTGTTCCAAGCTCACAGGGGGCATGGCCCTTGCAAGTTACGAAATGCAAACCCAAAAGGTTTCTTCATCAACTGGAGTCTTCTACCTTATTGTTGCTCTTTCTAGGAATATTATTCATCGAACTCCTACTCTGAACCAAGCTCTCTGGTAAGTACAAGCAGGGCTCAATAAATCCACACACCTAGTTGTAGTGGGTGAATGCTTATTACGAACTCCAAAAACGGATGAAAGTATCAAGGTTCAAAAATGTGGAAGAATTTGCACGAAGCCACACAGTTTGTGAGCAGCACGGCCAGGATTCAACTCCAGTCTGGCTGATTCCCAGGCCCAGTGTCTTGACCACACACCAACCATCAGGCACACGCTACTGCTCATCTGAGGAGAACTGCCACTTGAGGCTGCCAAGCCTGGAGGGTGTCCCACAGGACATGGCTAGTACCTGTTGGAGAAGTGGTTATCAGTCTCTGGCAATTATGTACTCCTAGACAGTCAGCTTACTGATAAGGAGGGTGAGGGTACACATGAGAGAGTATGTGTAGAGGTGACTGGGGAGTGTGAGCACATGTGAGTGTATGAGCAGGTATGTGTTTGAGTGTGTTTACTGGAGTGAACAGGCTGTGGTGTGAGAGCGAGTGTGAGTGTGTAAGCATGTGTGTGGAGTGAATGTGTGAGCACATGTGAGTGCATGAGTGTGTGAGTACACAGGGCCCAGGCAAGTGTGAGAAGTGGAAGGCAGAAGGGTGTTGTAGATGCTCCCAGAGTCCCAACCTGTTGGGAGCACAAGGCTGAGTTTGAGCAAACTTCAGAAAGTAAGCTTAAGGTCATGTCTATTCAACACTACTGCCATCCCAGTGTCAGATTCTGTGCCAGGTGCAGGGAGTGGGCATTTCCCACTCTAACCAGAATCAAGTTCAGGGTTTTCTGGTGAGTTTTCTGTGCTTCCAGTCAACCTTAAGTCTAATTAAGAAGAAAACCCATTCCTTGGACACCTTGAAACAAAGCCCATCAGAGATTGGTTCCGGCCCCTCTCTCCTTTGCTGAATCCCCATTTGCAGGCAGGGTCAGCCCTACCTTCATCATAGCAAAGACAGAGGTGGGGCTTCTGGCCTACTTGTTCCTAGGTGACATAAACATAGGGGTCTGCCATATCCCACAACAAACTCGGTGGGCCTACTGAGAAGATCCTTCAAAGATGATGAGGGGGAGGTGTCACTTAGGTTTGCCTCCTCTGGGGTATGAATGTGGACAATGCAATTCTCCATCACAACTCTACAACACCATCAAACAGTCAATAGACAGTTCAATTACTGCTTCACACAAACATTAAAACTAAAAACAAAAGCCAGGCTCCAGTGGCTCAAGCCTGCAATCCCAGCTACTTGGGAGGCAGAGATCAGGCAGATCACTGTTCAAAGCCAGCCCAGGCAAGTAGTTTGCAAGACCCTCTCTCAAAAATACGCAACTCAAAAAAGGGCTGGTGGAGTGACTCAAGGGGTAGAGCACCTGCTTAGCAAGCGTAAGGCCCTGAGTTCAAACTCCAGTACCACCAAAGGAAAAAAAAACTACAAACAAGAATATTCTATGGCAGGAAAATCTTTTCAAGGGAATTTATTTTACAGCTAAAGTATGTTCTCTTGTTGCAGTAAGGATGATTTATCTTCCAAAGAGGGAGGTTCTTTCCCAGAACCTATCTCAGAACAGTGCACACAGTCACAATTTATGAATCCATTTGTTTTCCAGAATATAAGAAAAAAAAGGTATTAACTGTTTGGTCAGAGTTAGGGGTTCTTCAAGGATCCCCAAAGGGAAATTTCATCAGAGGGATTTCCCTAAACAAGCAGAAACATAAAGACAAGGCAAGGACCCAGCCTTGAACAAGGTTGCAGACTGGAAAACAAGACAGTGACACAAGTAATACTCTCTCAAGTAAGAAGGAGCTAGTAAGTACACAGAACCAAAGCTCACTGTGTTCCTGACAAATGTCAGTGATGAAGGAGTCCTACACATGTTGGCATTAAAAAAAGGAAGAAAAAAAAAAAAAACCAGACAGGCATCATAGTGCCACATGCATGTAATCCTAGCACTTGGGAGGCTGAGTGAGGCAGAGAGATCATGAGTTTAAGACCAACCTGGGCTACACAGGAAGATCCTGTCTCATATTTCTGCCCTCCCCCCCAAAAAAAAAACTTACTACAAAAAACACTGATAAAAATTAATTTTAAATATTATAATTAAATAATATAGCCAGGCAGCAGTTCATGCCTGTAATCCTAGCTACTCAGGAGGCAGAGATCCGGAGGACTGAGGTTCAAGACCAGCTCAGGCAAAAAGCTAGCAAGACCTGCATCTCAACCAATAAACCAGGTGTGATGGTACTGGTATGTGGTTTCAGATATGCTGGAAGAATCTTAGACCAGCCCTGAACAAAAACATAAGACCCTATTCGAAAAATAACTAAAGCAAAAAAGGGCTGGTGGGTATGGCTCAAGTGACCTACCAAGAGCAAGGTCCTGAGTTCAAGCCTCAATACTGCTTATATATATACATATATATATATGTATATATATATATAATATTTATTTATTAAATATTATAAGGCTGAAAAAGTATTTAGTTATCGACAAAGAAACAGTGAAAAAAGGCACATCCAAAAAGATAGATAGATAGAAGATAGACAGACAGATAGATAGATAGATAGATAGATAGATAGATAGAATGGGAATCTAGTTGAATGGGTGTTGCCAGGTGGTTCTGACCCCCAGGAACAGGGTTGGGCTGCCAGAGCCCCTTTCCAAACCCAGCAACAGGGCCACCTCCTCCTCCAGGGCAGGGCTTAGAGACTCCCAGCCAGCACAGAAGCCAAGACTCTCCTACACAGCACAGCACATGCAGTGACAGCAGCAAAGCTGAGACTCTGAGGCCACGGGATCTCAAAACAAAGAGCCTTTATCTCCCCACAAAGCAGAGTTACAAAGAGTTGTTTGACAGCCATTTTCCTTAGCAAGCAAATTGAGGAGCAATTTCTGGCATCTGAAATTGATATTAGAAAACAACCCAAAAAAGCTCAGTAAGTACAGTTAAGTAAATTGCTGTATATTCATGCACGTGTGACTTACAGCCATCGGAGAGAACAAGGCACTTTACATGAACAGACATGGAATCAATCAAATGAGCAAGGGGAAAGACATTACTGGGCTAGGGGTGTAGCTCAGCAGGAGAGGCCTTGCCTTGCATACCCTGGGGTCCTGGGATCCATCCTCAGAACCACCACAAAAAAATACATCATTTTATTTTTGCTTAAAATGGATTTGATACACTTATAATTAAAATGCATTCCATACTATGTGAGTTCTGAAAATACACTTAACTATTGTATACTACACAGTGGGTGGCTGAGATTCAGGGAAGTTTATATTTTATATTATTTGATTTGATTGTTTGAATATTTTTTAATTACTTTGATAATAAGCATTCTTTTCTGGGTTTTGGAGTTTTTTTGGCAGTAGTGGGATTTGAACTCAGGGCTTCATATTTGCTAGGCAGCTGCTCTACCACTTGGGCCACACTTCCCACCCATAAAGACTCTTTACAGACTTTTAAAAGTTCATCATGCTGATGAACTTGAAGTTTTTCACTGGAAAAATATAGATATTATCTGTTACCAAAACCTCATGAAACTGTCTCCCAATTAGGAATATTAATTTTCTTTTCAATTATTTTCTAGTATTTTTTAAATGTTTAAACATGTACTCATTTTAGAGTCAAGAAAAAAACTAAGAATTGACAAACATCAGTGTGTTCAAATATGGGCAATCCATCCAATCACAAAAAAAAAGAAAGAAAGGTCTCTAGCAACTTTCTAGGGGACATTCATGGTGATTTCATGGTTTTGCTTCTGTCATCATCCTCTATTTTCCAGATGTGCTGCTTTCTCAAGTTTGTAGCATGCTTCCCAACATTTTATTATGAAATGTTTTCACACACACAGTTTGAATTTTCAAACATTCAAAGTTGAAGGGCATTTTTAAATGAAATCTGTAGACCTAAGGCTGTATCTGCCCTGTCACAAATACGTCTGTCTATTCATTTCTACTGTATGATATCTTTAAACTCTGTGGGTTTTGTTGGGATGGTAAATTTTTTTTCTTCTTTCTCTTTTTTATTTTTTTTTCTTTTTGTATGTGTGTTGTGTGTATATATGTGTGTCCCCTCTCCCCACCCCAGGGAAGTGAATGGTCACCTTGGGATACCCAGTATACCTTAGCAGGCCAAGGAACTCATTGATTTGCTTATTCACTTGACACTCACTGAGTTATGTGCCAGGCACCAACTGGGTACCTGGGTTATGTCTACGAACAAAGTAAAGGTATCTTTGTAGCACTGTTTGGTCAGAGGGAGAAAGATGAACAATTAAAATATACCTTAGTAAATAAGTGAACAATCTAGAATATTAAAAGGTATACCAAGCAAAAACCTGAGAGCTCACACATGTAATCCCAGCTACTCAGAAGACAGAGATCAGGGTTGGAGGCTAGTGCAGGCAAAAAGTTCAAGAGACTCCATCTCAGCCATTAACCTGGGCATGGTGGTACATGCCTGTCATCTCAGCTACGTAGAAGGAATAAATAGGATCCTGGTCCAGACCCAAGGCAAAAATGTGAGATCCTATTTGAAAAAATAATTATCCAGAGGCACCTGCACATCCATGTTTATTGCGGCACTATTCACAATAGCCAAGTTATGGAAACAGCCAAGATGCCCCAGCACTGACGAATGGATTAAGAAAATGTGGTATCTATACACAATGGAATTTTATGCAGCCATGAAGAAGAACGAAAT